TGCCAAGCACACTGCACTGTGCTGCTTGTCCTTGGCATATGGGCCTATCAAAATTAGATGAAGCATCCAATCAACACACATCAGATCGAGTCCTTCAGTGTTTAAGTGTCCATGTCATGGTGTGGATTAATTTGATTTATAATCCGAGGTGCTAGCATGGAGTGTGTTCTAAAGCCACAAGGCCAAAAGCGCAATGATGCTCCCAGCTCTTGTCTTTAGTAACTTGGCTCCAAGCCTGCTCCAAGGAGAGGAAGTTGAGAAGGTGCTTGGATACTCACCGCCCCCCTCACAGTGGCATGAAGAGACAGACAGCGAAGCAGCGTAGCTGGGTAGAAGATAACGACAAGGTGTCTGATCAGTGTAGGCTGTCACCAAGCTCCACTCTTTACAAGTCTCGTTCCAGCTGAAGGCTTGTTTTGTTACCACTGTCCTGTCTTTTGCTGCCAACCCAGTCTCTCTCACACTGAGCTGCAGTGAATCTTTTTTTCATGCTGCAAAATCTACATGAGCTACACCAGAGCAAAAATACAAAATGGTTTACTGTACTGTTTTACTATTGGTTATCTTTYTTTTAAAGCTATAATTGTAAATTTGTTTTGCATTTACTAGTCTTTATAATATTTCCTATACAAACCTAGTCAACATTCAGATCATTGCGTGTCAGTAATAWAAGAGAACAGTGCAGGTGGACAGATGGGACTGCTGGCAGCATGAAAACAAAAACAAAACAAGCACAATAGGCGCAGATATTCAGACTGTGACGAACTCAAACACAGACTGGAGGTGTTTTTTTCTGAGGTTGTTGGTGCTACTACAGCAAAGCTGGCTGGGAACATTTCTTTTCTTATCCTCCATTTTTCCTGCTTGCCCTGAAGCCTCTTCTCATCACCAGCRTCAGTGTCAGGACTCATTTCATATTGTCTCGATTTTTTTGTTACATTTTTTTCATCTTTGTTGCTTTTTACCTTTGTGCCATTTGTAGCCTCTTTTTTCAGGCCAATGGAAGGAAAACTACAGTATAAGCTTGACAAATGTTTGTAGATACATTAAGGGAAAGATGAGTTTGTGTTAAAACAAAATATAAACGTAAATGCAGATTCAGTTTTGCATATTATTTATCCAATTTTGATCTGTAACTGCAACAATGACACGCTATTCAGCTGTTTTTGATGTAGCTGCATGTTATTGTACATTTTCTCTTTTTTACCTGCATGTTTGGAATTTTGTTTGCAGGATTTAGTGACTGAGATATATAGGATGTTCTGCTCATTTTAAAGATTTTAAACCCAACATTTGTTGTTGTGCACTGACTTTAAATGGCAGCTGTGCTTTGAGCAAAAATACCATTTTCATCATATCCCATACCAGAATTTCTTGGGTTGTTGCTTTTCCAGTATTGCCTCTCTGTTTATCACAACATCACTGTGGTGGTCAYCTAGGGGTGAAATAAACAGTTCYACCTGTATTTGACCTTGGTCTCAGAAGACCTCCTTCAGAGAGACAGAACTCTGTTCAAGTTAGAGCCATAATACGTTTTCTTAAACAGTAAAGAGACATGTTCTTATTATTAATCTGATAATAAACAGAATAATCTTCTTTTATTCATAATTTTAACAATTTTGTTTGACAAACAACACATGGCAGTCCTTCAATAACATTTCCTCCTTTTAAAACTAACATTTCTGAACTAACAGTCAGTTGAGTTGAGTTGAGTTGAGTTGGGAAAACGAACGCTCTTGTGCTTCACGAGAACCCAGCTGGCTCTCTGAGGAGAACCAGCCTGCCTGTGAGGTTTAACCCATTGAGTCAAAGGGAACCTCTCAGCCTAGACCAGACCATCACTCGGTCTCATCTATTTTGAGCTTACCAAAGTTATTCACAGAGAAACTTTTGTTTTGAAACTTCCATGGCAGAAGTTTTCTATTTTTGAGACGGGTACCAAAAAGCGCCTCGTCTCTGATCTTCGATTGAAAGCAGCCCAGGAGACGCTGAAGGAGTAACGTAAAGMGCCTGGAAAGTGTCGGACTGTATGAGGTTCCGAGAAGTTCTTTACCAATTGTACGATCTTTCCTTCGATTTGAGCCTGGTGGTGAAACTACCCTTGGTCGAGGTAATGGCTATTTGTTGCTGAGCGTACCTGAGGTTTGGCTGGATCCGTTGAGAGACATCTGCCCTTTCTGGTTAAAATCCACATTCTTTAAAGGATAAAGTTAAAACTAACTAATCCTCTTCCTCCTCCTTTCTTTCCTTTGCTTACGTCCTGCCAAAACCAAGGAAAAAGGGCCGCAAACAAATAGTTTATTAACATCTAAACCTCAAAGTTTGTTGTTAAACTTTTTATATGAAATGAATCTCACAATATGCTGTACATTGGTGATTTATTTGATTCTGTAAATAAATAAATGACCTAGTTTATTTTAGATGAACTTAAACTCACTGAGTCTGCTCATCTTATTGTGTGTTTTGTCCATTCATTTTTGTATAAAGAAGATATTATCGAAAATAAGAAGAACCAGTGAATTTACTTATTTTTATTATAAGAAGGTGTACAAATCACTACATCACACAAAAACTATTGAAAACTGTCAAACATTAGGAATAGATGAACTAATGCTGAGCGGTATGACCCATATTTTATATCACGGTATTTTCAACAATTATACGGGTATCAGTATTTGATAGTATTTTTCATTTCATCACAGCTCAGCTGATGATAAAATGTATAAACACTGCTTATTGATTAGCAAACCTGAAGTTGCTCTCTTTCTGCAACACAGAAACTATTGACTTTTTTCTTGTACTGTACCTCTGTTTGTGTTGCTGTTTCACTCCTCTACATGCGTCTTCTTTTTACCTGGTTGTAGACAGTAGTCACGCATTTTGGTATGGCCATGAATGTTTAGCAGAGATCATTATTGGGTCTATTGTTTTGTGTTATTTAATAAAACTTAACAGGTTGATTCAGTCTCTGTGCATTCATCAATTCAACCCCGATACAAAACCTCTTCCCCCGGAAGCCCCCCAGTATAGAAGAACATTAACATCTCCATACATCAGGCAAAATTACATTGTGCACAAACTCTATCATTCACGTCACTGAAGAGCTGTATACTACATTCATCGATGGCAAAAAACAGGAGAGTTTATTTTTTCATGTTAGTCAATAAAAGCAGTGAAATCATCACCCACCGCCAGTTATGGAGAAGTTCGCTCCAACAATAACATTAGCTTGCTAATGTGCAATAGCAGTGCTKCGAGTAAAGATGTTCACTAGCGGGTGTGACGTAACGTTCCGAATGTGTTTAGGCTGTTTAAACYGATGTCTGTATTCAACTGCCCAGCACTAAGATGAACTGTTTTGTCCATTTCACTTATGAAGTTGCATTGCACAAGTATTGAAGTACTCTTGCTGTGTGCCCAATTTGCTTCAATTTACACAAAAATTTATGATTTACTACTACTCATAGGTTTTGTAAACTCTTGCAAAATATACACTGACATGCGACTTGATCTGGAATCAAGCGATAGGACTTTTGGTAGCTCTCTGTGTGTGTGTGTGTGTGTGTGTGTGTGTGTGTGTGTGTGTGTGTGTGTGTGTGTGTGTGT